CAGATAGCAAGGGAAAACCAAAGTGTTAGAATAAAAGGGGGTAATGGAGATGATAATAAGCGAGATAGGAAGTAGTTACTGACATGTGATAATGAAAACATGAGGTAAACTATAGGACACCTATCAGGCACAGCTGGTCAAAAAGCAATGTGACAATCCATTGGTAAGCACGTTTGTTCAAGTCTTCTCTTAAGCTACTCGCTGAAGGAGCCATGTTCACTTCACTTGTTATAGAATTGTATTTGGACACTACTTATAATATGAAAAAGTGGGGCGTATCGGATTTTCACCCTCTGATGTGCAACTTCACTTCGTAGACGGTGGTGTTGATGTAGTGGTAGGATGCTCGTGTTACTGGCCGACCGTAAGCAGTAACAATCTAGGCGTTGAGACAGTGTTACATATTTAGACCCTAAGGTTAATAAAGTATCTAAGTGAACATAAAATTGTCACAAGCATTGATACTCAACATTATTACTGGTCTTTCTTGTTGTATGTCTAACCATAATAAGAAAAGCAATCCACCTCTTCGAGTCCATTTCATCCGACGAAGTTTTCGTACAAAATCTTACCCATACCGACCTAAAAACTATGTTGGCTATCAAGATGGTAAGATCCTTTTCTGAGTACTACTCTACGAACGATTACACCTCCTCATAAAAACTGAACTCAATCATTCTTCTCTCTATCGCTGATGGATGTGAAGCACTAGGAAGGATTCATTCCAACGCCACCCTTCTTTGTCTAGAAGAACATATTGGCGATCCCGGATCCATGAGATTTTCATCTTATAACCACTTTTTGTGCACCTTTGAAGAGTATCAGTCTATCTTTTTATGTGTGTAATGGATTTTGTTCTTCATAGACAGAATATAGCAACAACTCCCGAAGCTAATTTTTTCTGTCCATCTTGTATCTAACGGTTCACAGTCTTTTCTAAAACGACATGGTTGTACATTTTCCTTTCCACCTATGTTAGAACGAATTTTTCCGTTTCCAACATTGTTCTGACACGTAATGTACAAATATAAATGTTCGCTTCGAATTAAAAAGGACCATCGTACTCACGACTTCTGAGGAGCTTTGGCTCTAATCACGCAATTTCACAACTCTTCTATAACAATACTTTTTAATGCTCAGAACAAATTTTGAATGGTCCAAGATGATTCTTCTGGTCGATGTTCTTTATTAAGGTTTCTTCCCAGGGGACGAGGTTACTAACCTTAAACTTAGTCTTCGTTTATCGAGGCCTATTATCAGATGTAATCTTAAAAGGACTCCATGTGGAGTTCCAAAATATCTGTAAGCAAAGTGTCGCTGCGTTCTTCTTGACAGAACACTTACGTCAAAAACTATTGGTATTACTTTGCAATTATATTTCCAAATGGCTTTATAAGAGCTGCTCGGTTTAGTATACCTGAATAATTATGGTACTAAAGGCATAAAATTGGATTTCATGACGCATAACAGTATAAACCTCGGTGAACAAGAGAGAACTGAAGTGAGGATAACTGATTTTTTATTAAATGCAAAATTATGGAGTGCTTTCATGAAATGCGGAAATTACACAATAAATATGTCATTTTTACATCTTTCTTCATTTGCCCCGTACATACTTCATGATTCTTCCGACCTGTTCTCTTTAATTATGTATTCTGCTGGTAGGAGTTCTACTTTCGGTCACTGCTACATACTACTTATGGCTTTCAGCATAAGTAGCGTGCATTCCAGTCCTACATGTATTAATCTACATTTTAGAAGCACAATATAATTGTTGGCCATATACTTATTAACCTGTTTCGACTATACCCTGTTAAGACTTTGTGTGCAACGATTAAGAGATTAATTTGGCTGAACTGAAATTAACTGTGTAAAATCAAGTTGAGGAAAGTATATGCTTGGTGTTTCTCAGTGTGCCATACTGGTCCCTTCCTTGTTCCTAAAATTCAGTGATCTCCCAATCATATGTCAGTTCATCAGTTCTTATTTTCATGTAAGGTATTGAACAGGCGGATATAAATGTGATTCACATGGGCCCGAGGTTGATCTAGAACTACTACAACAAGAATGAATGGATTTGAATTTTGATCCCCAGAAGAGTCAAATTACGTTATTTCCGGCTGCACAGGAGACTCAAGCCTACGCTGCATTTCACTTTTTCTGAAGACAACCAGACATATTAACTTCTGAGCCCCTTCTGACACTCGTTGAAACCTACCTTCCCTTATATTTAAAAATCCACCACATTTTGACACCTCTCTCCGCAAAACCATATAAGTCTCTTCGAACAGGTATTAGGGCTTGCTACAAACTGGGTATAAGGATGACATACAAAACCTATAAAGCTCGACTTCACCACCTGAGACTGCTCTCATTAATTTACGAGAGAAAGCCAAGCGGCCTGATGGTGGTGTGTAATACACAGCCACTCCCAGTCGCTCAAATGAAAACATCTTAACCAATACGGAGTAACCCACGACGAACTATGTAAAAAAGAGCCAGTATTCGGGTAGGGTTACGTCTTTGTCACTAAGGGAAGGCGCTAACTGTACTTCTTTCCCAATTAACATGACCATAACTCCTTCAGTATACGGCTTCATGAAAATACTCCATAATCACGTACTCCCCCATGACTTCATATCTTTCACCTGGAATGACAATTTCTGATGCCTGTCTATCCCCCTACGATTACTGCCATTGTTACTTCTGTTATTATTATTTATTCGTTTCTAATCACGCATCCTCTTGTTACACTCATCTGCCTGTTCACGTTGTTTGCATAAACTATTAATGTACTTATTGAGACATTTATCATGTTTTCTATCCCAAAATTCACACTTTTGAAATGTCTCATTCTGAAACAAACCAATCTTCAGCCTGGTATTGTGATAATTGCTGGCCCTAGCAACTCGACTGCTCTAGAATAAATAAACCCGTTCATATTCAGGAAATGCTCATTCACAATTCATCAGAATCAGTGTAGCAAAGTAGCCTAAACACAAACATTAGAGGATAGCAAAGATCTAGAACTGTACTGTAACATGAAGAACCGAGTTCAAATAAATCAGTCGGTTTATGCGAGCTAATCTGTTAAGACAGATTAGCGCTCATATTAACTGATGGCCTTGGGCAAAAATCTCATAGTTCGTTGTGTATCTTGAATATGCTGGTTGATGAGTCGCAAAAAATACTAAATAAACTTGTCGCAGATTTCGGATGGACTCACGAGTTTCTTTCGCAGGCGAGTACTTATTCCAAGTTGCCTGTAAATCTACACAATCTTAGTATTCATTATTGTTTTGTCTGACGATTTCAAATGTTACTTCCTCCTTTTGTGAGGAGCACATATTTAAGAGTACAATTCCATGGGTTTTTCCTCTAGTGTGTTCAGACCAGCTTTCCATAAAATTTGCGAGGATTGTTAATTTAAGTTGGTTGGAAGAACAAATAACCGATAGAAACTTAAACTTACATCGTTGGAAGTAGGCCGACTATTTTTTGTACATCGGAAATCTATATATTACCTCATAAAGTAGCCCTTACCATAGAAAAATACGAGTAAAAATGGTAACAAGTGTTAAAGGAACTGTTTTTTTCTTGAAAGCATTTAGTTCTTCTTTCTATCGATGTAAGGGACTGTAAAATCCTTTTTAATATTAACAAATTTAGTATTTGGAGATGAAATATATTTACTTAGAATTGGTCAATGTAGTGCAAACTTACTCACTAATCCCGTTACATATTTTAAATATGTCATCTTTTTGCTTTCTTGCTTTTACTCTGACTCGGTGTTTAGCTATTTCGTTGCTCAGGTTTTCGAACAATATCTTTTTTACCGTCTTAAAAGATAATAGTATGCTTAAGGCTTAAATATGACTCTTAAGGTCTTGAAAAATGTTCGGTACAAAAATAAGGGAGTTGATAAACGGAATAAATACTTTAAGATTATTGGTATACAATTGTGCTTATTTCCGTAAAACATCAGCTGCCTGTTCTCAGACTAAATAAACTAGTTCGTTGTATTATAACGATCAATTCTAATGAATTTTACATGGTTTCTTTTATGTTTAGCCTGTCGAATATGGAATATGCTCCTATTCACAGAATCATTGGGTTCCTGTAAAGTCTCTCACAACACACAATCATTATTGTTCATTACGTCATCAAGGTTTCGCTAAGGAAGAGATAGTAAGTGCTTTTTGTTAACATTTATATATTAGAAGCCAAGAGGTAAAATCGAGGACGTAAATTGTCATGCTTTTCCACACTCACTAGCCAAACGTATTTGCAGTCTGGTTTGCCAGCGTTTATAATTCAGCTCTTACAAGAGTCAGTTGTGAACACTTAATTTATCGATTATTTATTTATTTAAACACAAACATCGGTACAAGGAGTGAGTAAGGCTTCCCTGACAGTGGCTGTATTTGCGTGGCCATGTGAGAGCATTTCGAGAAGAGCTGACTCTTCCCACTCTCTACCGTATCAGGTAATTCAGAGGGCACATACTTTGTCTCTAATGGAGGGTAATTTCCCCGAGTTGAAACTTGCATTTGTTTGTGACATATAGATATTTAGTACAATCGGGCACCAAGGAACACGCTGTATGGGACTAAGTAACAGTTTTGCGAAAAAGATGATGAATAGCCATGTAAACGGACAGACACAAATCAAGAATACAATGTATCAAAGTATCCACTTCAAACCGTCATGGTTGGTTTTATTCCTGGAAAAAATGTATTTACTACTTATTCAGAATACCTCATTACAATATCCATTAACGTCAACCTGACAAACTTTCAAACTATTGAAGCAGTTATGATAGCCCGGTAGCCGCTAACCTGTACAAATATCCTTCATTTAGCAACTTCATATCGTAGACCGACCACGCCTTTCTATATCACAATATCTATTGAACAAACTCCATTGTAGTTATTCAATTGATAATAGCTTATAATTTGTTATATCTCGGTTAAAATCAGATGGAATTTAAATGGCGATAACCAAATTATATCACTTATCAATACAGTTTATTTTTACTTTGAATAAACCTTTTAGACTAGCAGAAAAAAGAACCTATGTCAGTTCGGATGTCTTAAACAACTTAATAAAGCAGAATATTTGGATAAGCTGATACAGAAAGTACCTTTCTACTCACATCTCAAAACGGACTTTCTATAATTCTCTAGGACCTTGGGTGTCATCCTCTAAAGTACAGTAAACACCAGCTCCTTGTTTTCATGGGGTCAGTTTCACTTGATAATTGTCCGGTTTGTATCAAGGTGTCAACTTTTAAAACAACAGCTTTAACTAATACATATGATTTCGGAAATAACTACATTAGGCATCACGTGCAGAGAGCAACCTCAAGACTTTTGATAAAACGCAAAGAGTATGAGGCATATGAAAATAAAATTCGTAATCACAGCCAGTATATCTTGTTAAGGGATAGTTACTACGTTTACTTGTAATTCCATTTTATAACCATATCAGTAGTCGTACATAACTTACTTGTCTATACTATCTTATGTAAGTTTTAATTCCGGAGCAGTGATTACCATACACCTTTTAGTATTCTTATGCTTCTAGTCTTAACAATCAGATAAAGAGAGCGAGAAAAGGTTGTTGTAAGTGTCACTCACTTGCTTGTATTTTCAAAACTGATTTTTTCCTACAGGACGCCATGATACCCAATGCTAGTATATGTACGACTGAATGCACTCAACCTACATCTGATTGGACAAATGATCCGTCTTGGATTATGAATATGCAGGCATTTTCCACAGATAAATCTCATCGGTCATGTAAGGCGGATTATTATTTGCGGTTAACATTAATTATACTACTTAGATTAAAATGAGTATGTTGAAAGTTAATTATAATTATAATTTTGTTTTTCTCTATTTTGTACATTCGAGCAATTTAAGATACGTGATTAACTTATGTGATTTATAGAAATCAATCCACATACCTTAGGAAACATGACATAACATACTTTACAGAATACAACAACTCCAATATGTTACGTCATGTTGTTTTGTTTGTGGCCAACCGATATGTATCATCAACCTTTAACCTAGTGAAAAATATGACTCGAAGCTTATCATGTAATCAAATATCAACCTACTAGCTACAATAATCTCTATAAATTGAAGTATTCCTTAGTTATATATAGATTATTTCATAATTATTCAATCAAGCCGTTCTTTATGCAGGCTTGATATCGGCAGTAACGCCTAGAATGCTTCAGGTGAAGTTGGATTATTTTATAAAAAGTATGGCAAATGTCTGTATTTTGTTAAGTGTTAATTAGACAACGAGTAGTTAGAACTCAAAGGCTGTTTACTTTTGTCTATCGAATGTTACAATCATGAATCGATCAATATTAAACCACTATTGGAAACTTGAAAGCACTGAACGGCTGTCTCGTTCTAGTATGGACTGATTAAAGTCAGATCCCCACTTATTGAATACTTACTACTTATTTGTTTCTTGATTCTAATAGTGTTTCTTTTTTGATAACTTATAGCTAATAATTCATCACAAAATGTATCCAAATTAGAAGTTTTATCTATGATGAGAGATGCAAAACGACGTCGTCAAAGCTATAGAGGAATACATACTGCAAGAAAATCTTATACTGAAGTATGTTGATTTTTAACTATATATATATATATATATATATATATATATATATATATATATATATATATATATATATATATATACGGATAGAAATGTTTCTTGATTTGTTCTACCTTTGATTCAAAACTTTTAATATCATTTTAAAAATTATGTTCAATGGAAATGAATTCAAGGTACTCCGAAATGCCCTGGTTCGACTGAGGGTTGGGAGAGTCAGCTCCCCCTCTCGAGATGCTCTCACATGGTTACGCGTATATAGCCTCTGCCAGGGAAGTTCTATTCACTGCCTTCTCGTGGTGAGGGTGTTGTTTACAAAATTGAGAGGACGAAAAGTGAATGTCCTACGCTTTAACCGGGTTGGTGGATATGGTGGATCCACCTAGGGGAGTTGGAAAACCCTGATTCCAAATCAATTGTGTACATGGGCTCCAGGGTCCTAAAGGGAAAAATGGTGTCTGGACCAATTGTTGATCACCGGCTACTACGGGACTGCATCTCCTAACGTTTCTCCACTGTCCTGTCGATCAGAACTCTAGGTCAAAAGCTTAAGGAGTGGCTGTATGAAAACCATGTGCTTCGGTTTGGGTGCCCGGACTGTATTCCAGCCCTCAAACAAATCGAATGATTTATGTGACGCATATCTATTTGGTGCCTCCTTTTACCAATATTTATGTCTTTAAATAAATAAATAATTCATAGTAGTTTGTATAACAAACTCGATAGTGATTTCATGAGCTTATCATTAGACTGATAATATGTGGTGCAAGTTTACGTGGTAAGTGGTATGCATCTTTACAACTTGTCACAAACTCATATTTGTCCAAGGTGTTTTTTACTTCAGATCATGAGAGGACAAAGACGTTGACTAAATAAAAGTCACTGACATTAAGTCATTAGCTATATAATAGTAAAAAAGTCAGAAGATACGGAGTGAATTTTGATCTGAATTAGTGATGTAATACTAAAACTCAAAATCTTAAGATAAACAATGAATAACAAATCACAATTGATTGATCACGGGGTGGTGATCAATGTCATGTGTGTCAAGTCCTTATTAGTGCCAAGTATCACGAAACCCGGCTCCAGGGTTTCCTGTCGACTACCTCTAACCACAATCTGCCTCCGAATGCCCTTGTACAGCCGAGAGTGGGGAGAGTCCGCTCTCCCTCTCAAAATGCTCTCACATGGTCACGCGTATATAGCCTCTGCCAGGGAAGTCCTACTCACTGCCTTCTCGCATCACGAGTGCTGTTTACGAAAATGAGAGGACGAAAAGCGAGTGTCCGGCGCTTTAACCGGATTCCAAACCAATGGTGCACATGGGCTGGCTCCAGTATCCTGCGGGAACAAATGGCGTATGAACCAATCGTTGGTCTCCGGCTCCCATGGAACTGCATCTCCTCACGATGCTCCACTTTCTTGTGGATCAGATCTTCAGGTCGAAGGCTCGGGGTGTGGTGCCCTAAAAAAACCACCTGGTTCGGTTTGGGCACATGGGAAGTATCACAGCCCTCACATATATCAAATGAGATCTGTGTGGCGCATATATATTTGGTACCTCCTTGTACCAATATCCATGTTAAAATAAATAAATAATAGATAAATCATCTGAATAGCAAATATATATCTTGATATGCTGACCCAATCAGATATATCGATCCAAAACCAAATGATAAGTAAGAGATTGCTGATGAATGCACGCTGTTGGTCAAGATTTGACTTAATTTTCGAGGGGACATGTGTTTATCTGTATGGATGAGTTATTCATATAGTTGACTGGGTTTGCCAATAAAAGCTTCTTAGTTTATTTTGGTTTTCTCATCCAAGTAGCTTGTGGATGTTATATCTTGATATTGAGTTCGTCACAGGTTTACGATAACTGCTAAATATGACACTATTGAACTTGATAGGACGACAATTTACACACAACAACATTTTAACATTATCAATCCACAAGCCAATAAGAAGATAGTTCTTTTAAAATAGCCTTGTATTCTTAGTAGAAGTTGAAAAGTTGAAATGAAACAACTTTGTTTGTATAATACCATCGAGTGACCGTTGGATACATGACAAAATTAACAAATTATAAATGATAACACTCAATTGGATAGTAACAAGTTTCCTTTAGTAACAAAAAACTAAATAACCTAATCTCTTCTTAACAGTCAGGCATGTAGATTGTAAACGTATATATCTGTTGTGTTTTCGCAGATGCTTATCTAACTTGATACTAGGAGACGTGGGAATCGAACGATGCAAGTAGAAAAAAAATAACCCGACAACTTTAGATAAAGATTTACTTAACCACGGGAATAAACCAGAATGATGTAGAAACACACCACTTCCTATAAGATTCATTTACAGTTAGATTGACAGTCAGATTTGTATAGATTAAACTAAGTAGTACTTGACACTAACTAATCAGTAGTTTACTGTGTGGATCACATATTGACAATATCATGCAATTAGGCATCTTACAACCAATAAATATAACTAACTGGACAAACCATATAGTCACTTATGATTACGTGTCACAAACGATCAATATCATATATTAATTTCAATCCAATCGATTAAGTCATTTCTCCTCCATATGAATATCAATGTCTTTTAAATCTTGATATTTGGGGCTCATTATCAGCCTACAATCCTAAACGAATCAGCAGTGACTAAGCTACTATAATTTAAGCGGTTCTGCTGGGACACAATAGTTGACAACTAATCTAGGGATAAGACGGACCGTAGAAAAACTCGATATTCGAAGTAGAACAAATCAGATAAAACGAATCAATATTAACCCGCATATGTAATAATGAAAATATGACCTACAAGCATGCGAAAATTCGACAAACTGAAAGGAATGGTAATCAATCAGAAGAAAAGCAAAGATCATATAGAAAATTAAATTGAAAATACTTACGCCTGTTACTCCTCGTGGAGGAGCATCGGCCATCCACCAGCATTTTCCATCCAACCCTGTCCTGGGCAATCCTTTCCAGCTATTTCCAGTCGTTATATATCTTTTTCATGTTCGCTTCCGATTCCCGATGTAATGTGTTCCTTCGAGTTCCTCTTTTCCACTTCCCTTCAGGATTCCAAGTTAGGGCTTGCCTCGTGATGCAGCTTGATGATTTCCGTAATGTATATCCTATCCACTTTCAACGTCTTTTCCTAATTTCCTCTTAAGTTGGAAGCTGGTTTATCCTCTTCCACAGAAGGCTGTTGCTGATGATATCCGACCAATGGATGTTGAGTATCTTGCATAGACAACTATTTATAAATACTTGAACCTTTAAAAGTCAGTAAACCAGAGAATTTATTAATATGTATTGATATGTATTGTAAATGTATACTACTTTCAATACATACGAGTAGTTTGATTTGTTTTTGTAAATTTCGGTCAACACTGTTAGTCGTTTGCAACAAAGTTTATTAAGCTGTCTCACTTGAAATATACCATAAAATTAAAATATGGTTATTCTTTCCCTTGATCTCTCTCTTAGGTATTACGTGAAATTATAGCGCAACAAACTGAAATGTTGACAGCCAGTCAAGGATTGTCGGCACAACAATCTGAAGATAGAAGATCTAGGTGAGTTATAGAGGTATTATTATTATTATCATTTCTACTGTTATTAACTTATTTTTATGATTCGAAATGAATATTTATATATGGTTTCCTAATTACTACGTGATGTATACTTGTACATGTTTTACTGTGGTTATTTGAAGCTTGCTATCGGTAGTCTTCACTTGTTTAGTGTGAGAAGCGTAGGAATTGGTTTTATCAGCTTATGTTGTGGTCTTTCAATTAAAATACTGACCAACTGTTAGTTTATACGTTATTTTGTTATTGACATTTACTTTTATGTCACTTATGTTATAATCTGCAATTCAGTTTAGCTATTATTACTAAAGGAATACGTAGGAAGGTGTATTATCAAAGTGGAATACTGATATAACTTATGAGTAATTATAGGTGATCGCGTTGACCCAGATAGGGACATGTATCTTAGTTGACTTGAGTCTTTTTCCTGAAATATTTCAGATTGAATATCTATATCCTGAGTTATAAATGCACTAAGCCTTATCGTTTTTCCTTTTGTTATATTTTCGCTCTTACGGTTATAACCCAGCTATTCCTATTGCTTAGTATTCACGGACACAGATTCACTCGACAAGGCCCCCAAATCAGAACACGATTGAGCAGGAAGGAGATTATATTCCAAATAACAAGGTTAGGTGGAAGCAAGAAGCAAAATAGGAAAAACCGTTAGTATATTTATAGCTTTTTACATAAGAAGAATCTAGAAGCTTCTCCATATATCGACTAGCGCTGATTGGATAAGAATCAGCCAATCAGCGTGCGCCAAAACAATCGTGCATTGAGCATGCTTCAATCCAATCTATGTCCCACTAACACCTTTTGACCCCTTGATCAATATCACATGCCAACTCGAAATCCTACTTCTAATTTACCATAATGTCTCTGACTTGGCAAGTTACATGCGCGACTAGCTTTGTTGACCTTGAACCAACACAGTTAAGTTCCCATTGGCCCGTACTTCTCAAGTTTCACTCTATACCCTCCCTCGAGTCCAAAAGTCATCAACCAGCCTTTACTGTATGTTTATCTTTCATATAAATGTGGCTTATATGTAAACATACCAGACCGCATCACACAGTAAAAGAACAATAACAATTTTTTTATGAACAAACCTAAGGGTCTGTGAATAGAGGAGACTAAATTTCAGATGGGCAACAATTTAGGAATAATGAATTGTATAACAGTAGTTAATGAGTCAACTAAAAGCTTATGTTGAACGGAATACATAAACATGGCAATCTAGTTATCTGATTGTTATGTCCTAAGTCTCGTCATATATCTCGTGACTGAATCGTCAATTAGAATACCGTCTTATGTGACCTTGGCACTGTGTTAAATCAATGACACGTTACCTAGCACCAACAGCCTAGAGTCAACTTTGAGTCCTTATTACTCCTCTGTGTAGTAGTTTCTCGCCTAGCCCAGTCCATTAAATCCAGCCTCATCTGTATAAATCGCATATTTCAAATAAACTTGGTTTGTATAAAAGCAGATCAGATCTCATCACAATATAAAAATGAAAAATGAAAATCATACAAGATCTAGCCAAAAGTGGTTGTAAGTAGAAGAGTAAATCGTAGAATAATAGTCAATAGGTCAAATGTAAGGGATATGAATATATATATATATATAGTCTAGTTACTTAACGTTCTTCGTTAGCGTTTTTTTAGCGAGTTAGTTTTCTATGGGATGGGGTCGCTAACCCCATGCCCAACCCTCCTCCTTTATCCGGGCTTGGGACTGGCAGTAGCCTTCGGAGGGACTCCAGGCGGAGTTTAGTTACTTAATAGTTATGCAATATGAAAATATATAATAACAGTCCATAGATAGTTCTTAACAATTATCATTCATTTATTCTTTGTTTGATTATAACATTAATAATTATATAATAAAAATATATATCATAATAATATGTTTGTCACTAAAAACATTAGGTGTTAATAATACGTTCACTTGGTGTTGTTTTACTTGTATCTTCCCATTCTTATTTAAGACTACAATTGATCAGTCTATTACTGGCATATGTGCATCCTATGTGGACTGCCTTGATATAGCCTTAAGTCACATACTTTTTAAGCAAAGATGGACAGTGACTAACAGTGGGATCCATTTCGATGCGGGTTTCGTCTTATTTGGGATTTTCAATAGTTGAAATCATGAATCAATTGAAGCTAGACCACCATGGAAAACCTGGAAGCACTGGATGGCCGTTTCGTCTTAGTAGGGGACTCCTCAGCAGTGCGCATCCACAATCCCGCCCCCCGCGGGATGCGAACCCAGGACCTATCAGTCTTCAGCTGAATGTACCTGCATCGCAGAGTTAATAATACATTTACGTTTTTAGCTTAAAGTTCTCGAATCCGTACCTTTTGAATATATGTGACACAGAACACTATAGTTTATATCATTAAATGATCTTGGTTAGACAACCATTAAAAACCAAAAGGCAGTGTATAACTATCTTGTTCTTGTATGATATTCCTCAGAACTGCACTAATAACCTCACTGCTAACAGAAATTTAGGCTTTCAGGACTTTAAACAATCGAGCTAGTATTCAATAGCTTATATATATAACTTCAATTCCTGATATTTCACAACTATTGTAGTGAACAGGAACACTAATGGGGACAATTGAATGTATTTAGGCACACAATTACAGAGCATCTCAATAAAATCTGAGAACCATATATAGTAAATCGTTAATTTGTAAAATATCAATCCATCATATCAAACTTGACTGTTCCTGTTGGAAACATCAATCCATTGTCTCAGATTTCATTGTTCATGCATTTTCATACCAATTGCGTTTCATTGCCGTTTTTTTCTCATCGACCTTCTACTGAAATACATTCTATGCCTGACCACCGTCATATACTACTTGTGTGGATATAAGTAACCCACACCACACAATTTGTTCGTAATTACGTTATACTCAATATTGTTGAACTTCACTAGTCATAATTTCTCGTTAGAGCTTTAAAAAGTACCATTTAAAATTGGTTTCTGATATGGATTGTACAATCAATTATCGTGAGTACAGTATGTTTATGAGAATAATTGAATCTCAGTTGTTTTTGTTTTATACAAATTTCCTTTACAGTTTGTCTTTTTTTTTCATGATTTTCTTGATTGTAGTAGTGTAGAATCACTTTCAAATCAAACTGAAAATATTCATAAAAGAAGTCACTATTCACACAAATCCAAAACATTGGATACTTCACGAATACAACACTATTCTTCCTCCGATTCTCCATTGTCCTCAACAACTCGACCATACAATGAAACTTGTAGAAATACATCCAAATCAACTTTAAAGCATACACATCATCAATCATCGAAATGGAATGATAGAAGACAATCATCATCACCATCATCTAAACATTGGACTTCTAGTTCAGAGGTGAACAAAGATTTTCATCATGATCATGATGTTGTTTCTCCAGTGCATAAAAAGTTGAAAAAACACAAAAAACATTCTAAACATAAACATAAGCATAAAAGTAAGAAGTAAACATTCCAGTTCTAGTTTTCATTGTTCTAAACAGAACGAAATTCAATGATAAATATCCATTTGATATGATGCCTAAAACTGATAGCCAAACAATTAATTCTTGATTTTAATTTGTTATTATATTGATTGTTTGAATCGTTCCGTTAATGTTTAAGACTGCAATTGATCAATCTATTAATGGTATATGTATATCCTATGCGGATTGTCACAATATTGCCAGTAAGTTACAAGAATTTAAAGGAGAAATGGATGGTAACTAGCTGTGGAATCAATGATGCTTATCGTTCCATCCTATTTGGAACTTGTCAAATGGATGTCCCTGTATTCCAAAGTTCATATTCACTCCTGAACTCGAATTCAGTACCTTTCGCTTCAAAATTCATAAAAGTAATTGAAGTTTAGGACTGCAATTGATCAGTTTCTTTTTATATATATGCATCCTGAGTGGATTACCTCGATATTGACTTAACTCTCTCAGAGTGAATATCAATTCTAGGATTCAGGTGTATCCAGATGACGAGTTCCAAATAGGCCGAAATGCGCGTTCTGGATTCTTCTGTTAGCTACCATCTAATCGTTTTGTTTAACCACCTTTGACAATTTCATCATATTCATTGTATATTCATATTCTATTAAATAAACATATTATTTTCTTACATAAAATATTCTATTCACATCTATCAAGTGGTCTTGTCTTCGACTTCCACTTATTCTATTGTAGGACTATATATTAAAAATACAGTTTTGTGAATATCCATCACTTAGTCATATTGTAGCATTGTGTTCTTTCATCAATTACTATTCGATTGATTAATCTTAACAATTAAGATTTCATCATATTATTACCATTAAAATCGTCTCTCAGAACACCAATTTTTTCTGTGAAAAATAGGTTATCAAAGACCTTAATATGCTTGAACACCGATGACTACAATATGCAACTCTGACTAGTGTTTGAAAACAGTTGGAAGAAAGTTAGGAGTGGCCAAACCAAAACGTGGTATCAGTCTTTGAATTTACTTCAAAGTATAAAAGCAGAAGATTATTTCTTATTAATTAACTATCTTCAATGATGTTGCTTTTACTTAGAAAAAAACACGTCCGAATACATCGACCCTAACATGACTTTTAACTATTCGATTGTTGACTTAAAACCCTGACCAACATATGTAAGGTTTCAATTGATAAACACCATATCACCACTACCACGCATATAAACAAGTCATGACTGAAAATTGAGCACACAGATCTGTTCCAAGTTACATCGAGGTTTACATAGTTGTCATTAAATTATACTCGTTCAAGTCTATTATGTCTTTGATCTGTCTACCCATTAATATACAGAAAATAACTTGTCTCAATCTTGATTAAAGTCTTCATATTATCAGCTAACTGGTTTAACCTTGAGGCTAGAAACACGTTTTGTTCAAAGTGAGAGTAACTACTTTGAGTAAAGTGATGAAAACTATTCTATCACCTAATTGATTGACGAGCGCGCCCGAGAGAGAGAGAGAGAGGAACACTACTCGATTTATTTCTGATTCAGATTAGTGTACATAGATGAACAACACGACCACAATGTACAAACAATTAAGAAAGTACAAAAGTTACTTTAGGTTACATTTAAATTACAATAGCTTTTGGACAGATATAAATGTTAATGAAATAATTTCCATTGTTTATCATGACTTCTATATTTGTCTGTTCACATCACTATCAAACTCTCATGATGAAATTAATATTATTTATTTATTTAACTACATAAACATTGGTGCGAGGAGGCACCAAATAGATATATGCCACATAAATCATTCGATTTATGTGAGGGCTAGGATACTGCCTGGGTGCCCAAACCGAACCAAGTGGTTTTCTTAGGGTGTCACACCCGGAGCCTTTGACCTAAAAGTCTGATCCACAAGGCAATGGAGCAAAGTCAGGAGATGCAGTCCCATGATAGCCGGTGACCAACAATAGGTTCATATACCATTTGCTTCCTAAGGATACTGAAGCTCATGTACACTATCAGTTTGGAATCAGGGTTTTTCAACTCCCCTAGGTAGATCCACCATATTCATCAACCCGGTTAAAGCACCGGACATTCGATTTTCATCCTCTCATTTTCGTAAACAACACTCGTGATACGAGAAGGCAGTGAGTAGGTCTTCCCTGGTAGTGGTTTTATACATGTAACCATGTGAGAGCATTTGAAAAGAGAGACAGAGAGAGCTGACTCTCTCCTCTCTCGGCCGTACTAGGGTATTTGGAGGCTAGACTGTAATAAGGTTAGAAATTTCCAATGAATTAATCATTGTTCATAAACAATAGTTCATACAATTATATCACATATTCCATGGTATAATTCAATTATACTAAAATTATTTATTCTTTATTCATTAATAATTACAAATAAAAGTACATTTTCTATTATTTATTTATGTCCAAAATTATTTTGTATGGAATTTTTTTTTCCTGTTTTGTTTTTGTTTCTCATATTAAGACACTCACTTATGATTTAAATAGAGTAGTGATTGTAGATGATCATTTTGTTTTTATATAGTGTTGTTTAGTGTAAAAATGGGGGGAAAGGGTATGTTAGATACTGTTGAAAACAGTTGATTTTTTTCACGTAGTGTGCTTTAGTGTAAAAGTGGGGGGGAGGGGGTATGTTAGATACTGTTGAAAACAGGTGATTTTTTTTCACGTAGTGTGCGTTAGTGTAAAAGTTGGGGGAGGTGGTATGTTAGATACTGTTGAAAACAGGTGATTTTTTTCACGTAGTGTGCGTTAGTATAAAAGTTGGGGGAGGGGGTATGTTAGATACTGTTGAAAACAGGCGTTTTATTTTTATTTTTTTTGTTGCTTCAACTAATTTCCTTTGACTTAAAACAGATCAGTAAATGAACTTTATAATTTTATGATAATAAAATTTGTAAATAATAATTGACCTTGAAGAAATACACAATTTTTTTGGTTCTTTTTTCTCCCGCTATCAAAATTGGAACATAATAATTAGTTATTTTAAGTAGTATTGGCAATGGAATTTGTTCATCTTTTAAAGTTAAATATAAAATTGATAATAGAATCTAATAATGTTTTGGGTGTATTCTTAAAACATGAATAGGTATAGAAAAGAATCCTAGTTATTAGAGATTTCAATAGTTGAAATCATGAGACCATTGAAGCTAAACTATTATGGAAAACCTGGAAGCACTGAACGGCCGTTTCGTCCTAGTATGGGATTCCTCAGCGGCAGTGGGCATCCACGACACCGCCCCCCCCCCGCGAAATTCGAGCCCAGAACCTATCAGTCTCGCATGCTAGCGCTTAACCGTTAGACCACTAAGCCAGCATCTATCGGTGCTGATGTCTAACTTCGGGAATTTTATTCGTGGAGCTTTTCATTATTCTTCTGAACAACATCATCATCACAAACTTCAAATAGAAGTGATTATGGACAAATATTGAATCGAAAATTAAACTAATATGCGATAAAATCAAAATAAAGAAGTAAACAATGATACGTTAAAGATCAGTATTAACCAATGAACATCGAGATCTAAAAGAATAAACGGTGAACCATATGAAATATTGATGATGATGTTATTCAGAAGAACAATGAATGTTCCATAACCAAACCATCTAATTCAAAGAACAAATCTTTCTCAAAACGACGTATTTTTTAAATTACTTACTACTTTCTCAAATATTTATTCTTAATCAATATATTCAGTCAGTTAATCAGTAACAACGTAGAACTTTGTACATGCGTAGATCAGTTCTAGTTACCATACCATAATAGCACACAGATACAATTGTCGATTTAAATCCCATAATGGTAGAGGTAGTAAAAGTATAATCAGAAACATTAAGGTTTGATGATGTTATTTAAAGAGTATAATCCAGTGGAATAAATTTGGAACGAGAAAAAAAAAGAAAGGGATATGAAGAATTCAGAAGATAAGAATTTGAAAGAACACAAAGAGTGGATGCATTTGCACACACCATTGCAAACAATTTTAAGCCATGTCACATTCAATGTCTCAAACCATTGGTTGTTATCATCTCACGGATTTCAACCAGTTAATCTATACACTCACAAACATGCCTCAATTCACTTGTCAGTGACTTCATAGAGAGAATATATATTGCAACATTACATAATAATAATAATATCATTATTGTAATCAATAAAAGATAACCAGTTTGATTGAAATCAAGAAGAAGAAATAGTAGAAGTAGAAGTGATTGAATACAACTTTAATGTCCAATAATTTAAATGTTAACCGCTAATTATTATTATGTATTATTAAATGAAATGTATTTAAACAATTTTTCTTTTTTTGCTTTTAAATGATTAATATTCAATTTATTGTAATTTTTTTGTGTTTTTTTAATGAACTCATTTAATAGAATGTCATATATTATGTAATAATTTAGTTGTCAGGATAGTTACCTTTTTTGAATGCTTGTGTGTGTGTGTGCGTATGTGTAAGAGTGTGTGTGAGTGTTGTCATTCTCTTCGTATTTCGATAATATATTTATATTGATTTATTGATTTGAATACATAAATATTGGCACAAAGGGGGATACTGAATACATATACGCCATATAAGTCACTAGATTTGTGTATAGGTTGCTCAGGTGCCCAAATCGAAGAAGATAGTTTTCTTAGGCGGATACTCTTTAAGTCTTTAACTTACAGGTCTAATCTACAAGATATTAGAACAACGTTACGGAGATACAGTACTATGGTAGTCAGTGATCAACAATAGGTTTTCTCAGGATTCTGGTAACCCATGTACACCATTGGTTTAGAATGAGGATTTTCTAACTCCGTTAGGTGGATCCTCCATATCCATTAATCTGGTTTAAGTTACAGACATTCGTTTTTCATTCTTTTAATCTCGTAGAGAACACACCTCGAGAAGACAGTGAGTAGGACTTCTCTGTCAGTGGTTTTATGCACGTGGCTATGTGAGAGTATTTCGAGATCGTGAACAAACTCTTCCCACTCTCATCTGAGGACTAATACATTTATACTTTATGTCAAACTACAATAATTATTAAGTTAAATATACACTTAAACTCCATATCATTTAATGAATCCTACTTGACTTGATATACTATACAACGACGAATAATAAGTGTACAGATACATCCATCATGTAATCAGTTGATGAGTAGACATCTTATATATAATTTCCAAAATAATCAATTATTCCAAAAGTATTTATAACAGAATGGGATTAAACAATTTAGTAATGATGTAACTTCTAGTATAGGTTTGAAAAGATTATTGAATATCACTGAAATCATGAACCGATCAATATTTGACCATTAAAAGTACTGGATGATCGTTTCATTCTAATACAGGACATCTCAACAGTGCTTATTCACCATCTTGCACGTGAGTTCGAATCCCACGTTCATCTAACTTTGATCGGTTCACAATTTCATTGAGATGTAAATTGTACACTTGTTTATCTAAAGAATAACTGAAAAACCTCATACGGGAATGTAATAAGAAGTTCCTAGATATATGAATATAATTGATCTATTCTGTAAATAATAAATGAGTGAAATTAACTGGTTAAAGTTTTATTTTACTGAACTTAAGTTAGATCAGTGCTATTCCTTTAATCCTAAACTTGTTTATTGCTCATTTTCATTGGTAATACATTAACAAAATCAATGCTCTCACACGTCCACGCGTATATAGCCTCTGCCTGTGAAGTCCTACTCACTGCCTTCTCGTGGCGGGGGTGTTGTTTACGAAAATGAGAGGACGAAAAGCGAATTTCCCGCGCTTTAACCGGATCCAAAACCAATGGTGCACATGGGCTGGCTCCAGTATCCTGAAGGAACAA